TTTGTCTGGGGTAGGGTGGAGAAGGGGGGGGGGTGCATTTAGTTCACCAAACCTCTGAAAACACGGAACAACAGTTTTCCAATCATCATAAACGACTGCTCCGGATATGGCTGAGAAATGTCTGACCCAGAAACTTTAAAGATGACAGAAAATGACATGTTTCCCTCAGGCATGTTGGGTTATTATCTGAACGATGATAAGATGTGTGTATTTATTTACACTTACCTTGAAATTGTGACCTTTCTTCATACGTTGTTTCCTATTAAACCGACTCCATTCCAAATTGTGATACATTTATTTTGCACGCTAAACGCGTAACTGGATATAAACGGGGTGATAATCTAAGTTATGTCGATTTATTGCTTTCTCATGCAACCCAAATACTTGAACCCTCTGCTCCGTTTGTCCTGTTCACGCCAGGTGCTTTTTCTAGTGGAATAAACAATGAGAGTATTTCTGAACACCTTCGAGTTGACCTCTTTTGTCACTGACTGTTTTAAGTGTTATACGAGTGTTGATGTCTTACTCTGCAGATTTTCAATCCTCATGTTTCAATCTCTCTTTATCCTGCTTTGTTCCTTTTAAAAACATTTTCGTCACTGTTTTCATCGTCATCCTCGTCCCCTTCCGCCTCTTCGTTAGCATTTCTTTCTTCTCTTTTCCTTCATTCCCCTCTTTCTTTTCTTCTCTTTTCCTTCATTCCCCTCTTTCTTTTCATCTCTTTTCTTTCATTCCCCTCTTTCTTTTCATCTCTTTTTTTTTCATTCCCCTCTTTCTTTTCATCTCTTTTCCTTCATTCTCCTCTTTCTTTTCATCTCTTTTCTCCTTTCCCCTTTTCCTCATTTTCCTCTCCTTCTCATGGACGTGAAGACATAATATCTCATCCCCTCTTTCCTCTCCTCCTCTTCCACCCTACTCCCCCATCTTATATTCCTCCTCCCTTACTTTACCACCTACACTGTCCTTTAGATCCTCTTTTTTTTTTCTTCGACCCTAAGTCACCCCTTGGCGCTCATATATGATCTTATGCAGTTGCGAGCGCCGTAAAAACTGTACTAAAACTAAGTTAGTCACCCCTATTTTTCCCATCTTGTCCCCACGCATCTACAAGAACACGCATTTCCTGAGATGTCGACATCACATGGCTTAGTGCAAGAGAAGTGCATTGTACTCCTGCTCTCCTGCATAATTCAGCTGACCCAGCAGTACTTGAGAGACGACGATTCTTTGACGCCTGCCACCAAATAAAAACACAAACAAACAAACAAACAAAAACCACAACCAAACAAACATACAAACAAACCAAAAGCTGTGTGTAAATCGAGCCCTGTGTTAGGCCGTCCTGACTCGAAGAAGGCTCAAAGTCTGGCCAGAGATACGGAAAAAAGGCTTCGACTTTCTGAAGTTTTTTCTCCAGTACGATCGTCGGAAATGGCTTCAGAGAGAGATTTTAGTTTGTATGATGCCAAAAGCACCACTGACATGTCTATATATCTATCTATCTATCTATCTATCTATCTATCTATCTATCTATCTATCTATCTATCTAGCTATCTATCTATCTATCTATCTATCTATCTATCTATCTATCTATATGTCTGTCTGTCCCTCTATCTATCTATCTATTTGAGTTGAACACCCCAGTGAACATTGTAAGGTTATTCATAAGATGTGACTGGCGTCTGTGGTGTAGCGGTTATGCGCTTCGATGTCGCACGCAGGAGACCCGAGTTCGATTCCCAAGTGGGGAACATTTTTGTGGAGTAGCTCAGTCGCTAGTCTTTCTGCTAGGACGTCGTACCCCTCTAGCTCGGACTAAATAGTGTCGAAGGGACCGTAAAATCACTAGAAGAGCACACGGGGAAAACGACGGTAGTCACAAACTAGAAATTGTGAGGGTGCCAATTTTAAAAGCTTGTGGACTCATAACTTCCTAATTGTTTGACTGGTGGTTTATTGTTGAGTGTTGTTGAATGGTAAATCTAACAACAATAATCAACCAACATTTAAACAGAAATACTGTTAGTTATGAGTCAACAAGCTTTCAAAATTGGTACCCTTACGATTTTCAGTTTGTGACTACCGTCGCTTTTCCCCTGTAGTTTTCACTTACATTTTTTACAAAGGAGACATGACTTCGGGATTTACTGATCATCTTCCCAAGAACCGATCTGGACAGGCCGAGAGCCTCCAGAACTCCTAAAGGGTCTAGTTTCGGAAAAGTCACAACGTGGATTCGAACCAACCACGGTCATATTCACAATAGCCCAGTGTGAAGTCAACTGAGCTATCGTCGTGGTGTACCCAGTCATGAAACGCTTTGATTAAGCAGTACAAGAGATAACATCTAGGAGTCGATGAACACCGCGCAAATAGCCGGAGACTGGAACAGTGTTGTAATAGGAGTGTCGAAATCTCTTCCAACAAAACGTGACCAGGAACAACCCCATTGGGACTGGCGTCTGTCACGCGGAGGAACGGTGAAGCGCTCAGCCGTTTCTTGCCACAGTATCTATCCGGAGACAGCCCCGACGGAGATAGACCAATCAAAATGCTTTGTGCTAAAAAGACATAATAATTGTCTCCTGCCGAAATTGATCATATTTTGCTGAGATAAAAAAAATGGATAATGCATCAGTAACATAATTACTCAATGCAGCTGTTAATTAAATTCAATACTATAATAACAATGCTGTATGGTATCATCTAACACTTTTCCATTTAATTTTCGAGAAAGGATCGCGTAGGCTCATCGTATAAACATGTTTCCTGAAACTCCTAGTGTGGAAGTGGAAAAATCCGAAATTATAAACACCCTCTCTTTGTGCACAGCTCGCCAGTTCAACTTGGTTCTTTACTATCATAACAATTCGATATCCTGGAATAAAAAAAAAAATTATATCTGACGTTTTGAGTAACTTAGACCATGAGGTCAGAAACCAATGTTTTATCTGCCGTATCAAAATCGTTGGACAATCAATAAACAGCTGGAAAGAA